CGATTCTTTGTCCGGACTTGCGATTAGGCAGTCATCAACATGCTCATGTACGAAGTTGAGACTTCGAAAAATGTCGTCTATGAATCTTTGGAATGTTTGAGCAGCGTTCCTTAGACCGAAAGGCATTCGCAAAAATCCATAGAGTCCGAAGGGAATAATGATGGCGGTTTTCGGAATGTCGTCAGTAGCCATAGGGATTCGGTTATACGCTTTAACCAAGTCGATTTTCGAAAAGACAGTTGTACCTTTCAAGGTAGCTGTCAAATCGTGAATGTGAGGCAACGGGTAACGATCGGGAATGGTTTTTGCACTCAATCGCCGATAGTCACCAGTTGGATGCCAATCGTTGCTGTCCTTTTTAGGAACCATGTGCAACGGAGATGCATATAGGCTACTTGACGGTCGTATGATTCCTAAGTCTATCATATGGTCAAACTCGTTCTTCGCCAACCTCAGCTTTTCGAGAGCTAGTCGTCGTGCTTTAGAGAATACAGGTGGTCCTGTAGTCGTGATGTGATGTGTAACGTTGCTGGTTACACACGGTAATTTTGGTTGCGTTTGATGAATGCCAGGATACTTATTGAGTAGTAGTTGATAAAGTGGGTCTATCGTATGCCTGGTCGTGACTGGGGATAAACTGCAACCAGTAAAAGAAGTTACGCAAACGGACAACTTAGTGTTTCCGTCTACTAGCCTCCGTTTGCGCGTATCGATGATTAAATTATTGTGTTGTAGAAGGTCCATACCAATGATTGGAATAGATACTCCATTCTTTCCCTCTAAATAAATATTCTTAAGATTACGAAGTTTTTAATTAAAACAATAACTTGTGTTACACTTAAATTAAATTCTCAGACCCGTTTTATCTTCACTATGCATATATGACTCATACATATTGATATTTTATTATCCTTTTCATTTAATTGTAACTTTCATAGCATCACTCTAAACTATAACTGCACAAACATTTATTCTAGCGTCATATCTTACTGCAATTATAAGTTATTTTTTCTTGATTATTTTTTGTTACTAATTTAACGATACACACATAGTCGTTTATTCTTGTTCTGTGTTCGTAAACACGCCTATTAGACTGTTTGCGCATTTCACGTCTCCTTTATTTCTATTCCCTTATTTTCTGCATTTCCTTCTTTAGACTCAATTCAATATTCTTCTCAATTGCACAGACCCGATTTATTATTATTAATATTCTACTATTATTGCTCAAAAAAAAGTATTTTTTAAATGGGCAGAAGAATGCTGACATTATTGAAAATTGTGTATTATTGCATTTTTTTGAGGAAACCCGAAATGGTTTCTTCACAACACTTATGTACCCATAAGATGTTTGTGAATAATAATAATAATAATAATAATAATAATAATAAACATCTGCAACAACGAAGATCCAGTGAGTGGGTTTGCGTAAACCCACGTTAAGATAAACGTACCTTTTGCCAAACGTAGCGATCGGTTTTCCGCTTGCCGCCTGTAAGTTTAGGGTCGATTCGTGAAGTCGGCCGTTGGAATTCGCTGGGAGAACGCTGACTTCTGCGCCAGTGTCGACGAGGTAGCGAACTCTCGTTGTCACATCTGTGACGTACAACAGATGGCTATGTTCGCCGGCTACGGTTGCCGTTAACGCTTACCGGCTCGGAAGTTTCCCGAGTTGTTTTTCGAGTCAGTCGGTTTCGTGTTGGGAAAATTTCAGGGTTTTCTGCAATTTCTGGAAGACTTTCCATACTGGTTATGATACTAGCACCAGTCGGGGTTATCCGTCTCTCGTAGTCTAGAGACAGATCGCTTACGTGAAGTGCTTCTACGTGGAGTGTGTGATCGCTTAATGTCGTTACGAAGATTAAGATAACGCGTGAGTGTGTGACATAAGTCGGTTATGTCATTCTGAGTCGTGTGAGGCTTTGCTTTGACTGAAAATACCTCGGTAGTAGACGATTTCGTAATTTCTAAGATATGATCGGCAGATGCGGCCAGTTGGTCTAAGGCGTTGTTCTGAAACGAGACTAGAACCGCTTGCACCTGTTGGGGAAGTTTAGACAAGAAATGTTGTTTGTATAAACACTCGTCGAAAGTCCTTGGGCCTATAACCCTCTCATCCTTTGCAACATGTCCGTCGCAGAACCGTACTGCAGGTCTATGTTATTAAAGAGTTGATCTAACCTTTGTCGATCGGTTAGGTCTCCTCGTTTAGGAATCGAACGTTTTAATGTTTCGTAAGGTTCAGAAACATCACTAGTAAACATACTAGGTGTTACGTACCTGTTGAATTCCCGCGATAGTGCCTTGACTACTGCGAGGAATTGTGCACGCGGGTCGTTCACGCAGTCCTCTTGGAAGTCGGCTTCTGCGTAACAGAACCAGGCTTCGATATTGTCGGGCCAGAAGGGCATGAGTTGGAACGAGGGTGAGGACATGGTCTTAATCTTAAATACTTCAGGAGTCTGTCCGGTCATAGGGGAATATTAGGTACGAGAATACGAGGGAATAATACATAGATATCTTAAAACACAAGGAAAAAGTATCACAATGTATAAAAAATAAAAAATGAGGTCATTGTATATATAAATCCCCAAAAGGAACGGACTGACAGTTGCAATTAGGTGTACCAGATCACGTCGGGCTCACCTATAAAGATGACACCGGTATTCAGTGTTTGACAACGCTTCTACCAGTAACACCTTCTAATATAATTCGTAACCACCCAGAGAAATCAAAAGACAGAGTCGAAGAGATCGGAAGAGTGTAGTTGGCGATAACCAAAATATCGGAATTCTCTGATCTAATCTGGCTAGCGATTATTATTATTATTATTAATAGCTTTATTCAATATTATATTATTGGTACAATATAGAATTCTCAGCACAAAGTATTTCAACAAGTTTCCGTTTCTTTCTTCTTGGTCGGTCCTCGCGATAAATACTGAGTGGTCGCCAGCTAGATGTTATCAGTCCAGTAAATGAACATGGGAATGATGTACATTCTTTTCGTTGTACATTGCCAGCAACCATATTCTCTCTTTTTGAGCTTTTTGTAACTTTAATAACGAAAGGTTGTACATTTTTCAGAAACGCAGCAGTATAGGTTGTGCGATTAATAGACATAATGATATATTAAAACAAACAAAGATAGATAACTTGTTGAAATATCTAGATGGCAGGAACAGGTAGCCCAGATGCTCAAGCAGGCCGCCGTTGATGTTGAGCACGGCGTTACCACATGTGATCTGGTGTGGCTGCCTGACCGAGCGCCTTCAGCTAGATGAGTCCACTTAAACATATGGTCAGCATCCAATGTCGAAAACTTACAGGGCTATTTATTTTGGGGATTTATTTACCACTACACACACATTGACTACTTCTCTAATCATTATCTTATGCTATCGTCCTTCAGGTATAGATGAGACATCACAATTATTAATCTCTTTCAGCAAGAGTGCTCTTTCTTTCCTGGACGCAATTCAGGAAAAGCGAATCCTCCGCTAACCTTGTCTAGCAAATTTGACATTATCAGCCGTACAATTCAATATTGACGATACACAAGGTCATGACCTCAAGTTGTTGAGGTATATGCCCAAAAGTTAGTGTTTTGCCTTTTGATTCGAAACAAAGTACACCAAAAACGTTGACAGTGTTCGACAACGAAAAGATTTTGATGAGAAAAGTGATGCGACCACAATTGACAAAGTTTCGATAATAAACTTGATGCAACAGGCTGCGAAAATATGAATCTCAGATTTTGTTGATAAAGTTTATGCTAAACCGCAGGTTAATTTAAATTGATCTAGTGTGACTTCGGATTTTGTCTAATAATAATGTAATTTAAGGAGGGATCACTTCAGTGCCGTGCAAAGGTTTTTGCTCTATGTACATACTAACTGACACTGTGGTGGTCAGGAAATCAACTTAGATTATAATTTTCATAACTGTGTACCGGTAGCATAATGTCAGTGGTGTTAATTCTTGACTGATTGATGCGAATAATAATGAATCGCACTAAAGGAACAACAATGGTTATTACTATTAATGGTAATAATCATTTACGTAAATGGCTCAGTTATCACGGATCACAGTACATGCATGTGGGAGACTAAATAAATCTGACTGCAAAGTAAATGCTCGCAAAAATTAGCCAATCGGAACGCAGACACATCTTTCTCGATTTTCAATGGCACGTGCCCTACAAGTATTAGTATATTTTTTCTCAAAACTGAGTGTTTTAAAATGGTATTTGGTTTGTAGCCAGATTAATAGTGTTTCTTGTTAGATGTCGTTGGTTTATCTTACCTATTTTGTTTCGTAACGGGATTCGATTTCATACTCATGCTCAGCTACACAAGATTCACACCGAGAATCTTAACACATCCACACCCCACCTACCTGCGAAATCCAATTATACAGTTCATCTAGCAACTGCTTATTAATACTTCACAAGCTCCTCCAAATTGCTTTCGTACAATCTCGTTTAGATTTGGAACAGTGAAATTATTTATTTGCTCCATTATTCAAGAGTTATAATTGTAATCGCGTAAAGTGCTACATCGCCTCCCTCTTCATGTTGTGTCTAAATGATTACCGTTTGTCGTTGATACGTGTTTACACAGTAATTTACTACTCACAATCCTTCATTTAAGGTATTTGGAAGTGAGCATATTGTCCCAGCAATCAAGCAGAGATTACAGTGTTTGTGGCATGCTAGGCTATGTACTTTTTGTTTGATCCCAAGCTTGTCATATTTTAAGGACAGCGTTATTAGTGATCTTCGTTTATTCCTGTCTTTAATAAATATTGGTGGATTGTTTGTACTTACTAGGTCGTCAATTCACTTTCTATTTTTTTAGCCCTCACGCTACTCTGGCCCCCTAGTACATAACGCACCTTCTGGCTAGACGAAAACCGCTACACGTTACAGACTGTTTAAAATCTCTTGCATCTACAGGTAGTTCTGCTAACTATGTTTAAATGAAAACACAGTTGTCACAAAAGCTTTCAACTCCCATTTTTCGTAGGTTAGTCCAAGTTTCGGTAACATTTTTTAATTAAACGCAACAACACACTTCACTATTATATAAGGATACCAGTAAAGTTATAACGATGATCAACCAATCAGATGTAAATGAAACACCCGAAAGATAAATTCTGTGGCTAAATGATTGATCCTTTCCGCATGATGTAGACTGGCAATATTAATTATTTTTCCCATATATTCAAAACGTATACTAGTAAGGCTAACAAAACAGATATTATTCACAAAGTATCTGTACCCCGTTTCACATACCAGATTATTGAAGGTGTTCTTCCAACCTATTGAGTGTTTCGACTGCTTCGGTAATGTACTGAGTAACACTTCTAGAGTCCTCGCACTAATATCAACTTTAGCTTCTGTACTACAAAGGTGAGTGTTTTCTGTGTCTCTGGTCAAATGTATATACCTACATGTCTTAAAAGCATTACTGCTTTTCAAAATTAATTCATTTCCGTCTCAACTTGTCATGGTTTGCTTACTGTGATGTTGATTAAGTAGTAATAAAGACAAGGTTCTTATTGAACGTTGAACCACTGTCTGCACTGTGCTTTAGCAGCATCAGTACGTTAACCACCCATATTGCCTTCTCAAAAACAGAGCTTAATCTAAAAGATAACCTATAAACCCTTAGCCACGGGATTCGTCGGCCAGTAATCGTCTTCTTAGAAGTATACCAGTTTATACCACATTAAAGTTAAATATTTCAGAAAATGTTCTATACGACTGATCTCCAGTAGTCACTGTAGTTTATTTTCACATTCCCAAATAGAATCTTCATTAATGCGTTTCCCTAAGGGGAGATTACCACCGAAAACATGAAAGGTTTTGTCTTACAAGGATCCATGACAGCTAAGTTCATTCACTACTAACATCTCGTCAATTATTTAAAAAATTTCTATTCTACTTATCATGTGCTTTTTGTTTCTTCATTTATAGAACATTGTCTCACCACAACCGTCAAGCGTATGTAGCGTAGGTTTAAGGGGTGAACCGGACCATAATAACTAGTTAAATGAAGCAGTACGAAAGGCAACTGTAGTGTTCTTTATTTGGCGTAAATGGGTCAGTCTTTATGTGCTCCTGTTCTATCCAAGGAAACAAAGAGCTGGCAGAATGAAAATTATAGTGTTGCAGTATCCAGCATGCAAGGATGGCGTGTACATATGGAGGACGCTCATATGTGTTTACTAGAGCTTCCTGGTGATCCAAAGGCTGCCTATTTCTCAGTTTTTGATGGACATGGAGGTACAAGAGTGGCAAATCATGCAAGTCGTCATCTTCACGAGAAAATTCTTGAACAAATTGAATATAGTAAGTCTTCTTTCTCATATGGATCGATTTTAGAAAAGGCATGCTAATTAGGAAATTATTTGATGCGCCTGTTTTTCTTTCTTTGATTTGATACTCGTTGAAATATGTAATTTGCTCATCTGTAGCAATTGTCAGGTTCAATTTATGATAGTTAATAGCTTGAATTAGTCTACATATATTGTAGTGACCTCACATGAATAACAGTTGTCATACTTTCTGAAAGAAAAGTATATTGATGAATACCGTATACATATAGCAAAAATGTTGGTAACCAGGACTACATGTAATTTTTTGAAGGCTGATATCAATTTAAAGTGAGGGTCAGGTAAACTTCTAATTAATTTTCGTAACATTGACTTCTGAACTTTCAATAGGTCTTCGCTCTGATTTGTGTTTGGTGGCAGTCACTCAATTTATGAATTCTAATCGTTTTAACTGATATATAACCGGTTACCTAAACTGACTTTTTAATTATACTGAGGTTATCATCAGAAAAGCTTCCATTACGAAGCTGAACTTCTCACTGTTGTTGAGGCGGCAAATAAGAAGAGAATAGAAGTCGTCTTGTTCGTTTTATTGACGTCAAAGTTGCGAAATATTAGAATAGCATACGAGTGCATCATGTATAAGACCTTAAGGGTAATGCATACCTAAGTTGAACGGATAGAAAGCTATTTTGATCACAGGCAAAGTTTGAATAAATCTCTACTTGACATAGGTGCACGTAGTTAGGCTTTGTGGTCCGGTTATTCTCTCAAACCGTATCCGTAGTTTTTCCACCATTCGTTATATCCATCTTAAAATCTGCCTGATAAAGCGAGGTCTATAAAAGTCGAGGCTAGGACTTAATGTGGTGTTATTTCCTTTTGCCACAAACGGTTGGCATCAGTACACGTATTTTTCACGTTGAAATTCATGGCTTAATAGCTGTTTTACATATGTGAAGCCAAACCAATGTTAATTTTATCATAACATTTTTTTGATATCTTGATTTTCTTTCTCAACACTTGAACCATAGGATGTATACCTATTAGGTTTTATGGGTGTGTTATAATTCTCTTATATTACAACTCATCTATTCTTATTTCATAGTATTCTTGGACACCAATTCACTCGACAAGTCCCCAAATCAGAAGGCGGTTGAACAGATAGGGAATTATATTCCAAATAACAAGGGTAGATCGAAGGAAGAGGCACAATAAGAAAAACGTTAGCATATTGATAGTTTTTACAGGGGAATATTCTAGAATGTTCTCCAAGCATCGGCTAGCGCTGATTGGATAAGAATTAAGCAATCAGCGAGCACCAACGTAATCGTGCATGGAGCATGATTTAATCCAGTCTCTGTCTCGCTAATAGGGTGTTTCAGTTAACTTGAGATTTTTGCTTATATGTTTGTATATAATGATATATATGTCGTTCCTCATTATCTGTCTAAACACCAATTCAGTATTAGACACGTCGGTAGCCATTTTGGTTATTAAAGTTATCCTATATGAACATCTAGTAGTTATCTGGAACGTTTTGGATTCATTCATCCTGATAGTAATATTATAAATGTCACTGGAATATACAATAGTTATAAAACTCATATATTTCTTCCTAAAATGGCTACATATAACACTTTGTGGTTGCAACGTATGATGATAAACATAATCTTAGCCTGCCACAATCCCCGTCAATATTGTTCTCTACGATATCGTGGTATGAAAGAGAGCTGCAAAGGGCTGGCCTCTGTTGGTCTTTCACGACTACCTGACTGGGGTCCGAGAGATGGTGCAACACAGTGTTATCAGATATGGCTCAGAATAGAAGCCAGTGGCGATCCTGCTGTAACCTTCTTTTGCTTTCTTCGTAAAAAATGGTTGTCTTCCTTAACTGAAAGATTTCTTCTGGTTGTACTTTTCCGTTTTCCCCATTATTATTATTACACTACCTCACACTAATCTGGTCGTTATTGTTCTTTTTTTTTCTTTTACGCTCCTTACATTCTTTTTCTCTTGTCATTCTCACGGTTTTGTGTGGCGCATATATATTTGGTGCCCTCTTGTACCAATATTTATGTGTTCAAATAAATAAATAAATAAATAAATAAAACAAATTACGACATCCCCAGTATCATTCGAGTGACCTGGATTAGGTTAGAAACTAAGCTGGTCGTTGCATTAACCGATTGACTAACTCATGTATGTTTATGGGATTACTATGCAATTTTCCACTAGTCCTATTAAGCTGTGGGATTGGGTGGATGTTATCCCTCCACAAATTGAGCGAACGATGATTTTGGACTTTTCCCATTTGTAGAACTACGATGAAACATCCTAATTTAAAGAACCCAACAGTTGATTTACTGTTGGATAATGAGGTAGTACAAAGCTACGAAGCAGTTCTCACTAACGTATACCTCTAAGTAAAATACTTTTTGTTTTTTCCTTATTACATAAGTGGAAGCGAATATGTGGAAATCAACAATAATTTGGTCACCAGATATTACTATATCCTTAAAAGGATCTCGATACATAACCAGCCGTTAACTTGTCCTTTTTAGGTCGGAATGACATAAAAGAGGCTATTCGTCATGCCTTTCTTTCTATGGATGCTGAGATGCAATCTGAAATGACCACATATTCTGTTAAATCATCGGCACCGAAATTAGACAGCTCAGTTAATTTAACAGCTCCTGGTTCAGTTGTGGCAGTGAAAGATGGTACTGTTGAAACCCACAATGACAGTACAACAAGCTTCTCTTTGAAAATTCCAAATCCAGGTGATGAATTGGCTGGATCCACTGGAATAATAGTCCTACTGAAAGATCAAATGCTTTATTGTGGAAATGCTGGAGACAGCCGTGCAGTATGTAGCAGACGTGGAGTCGCAGAACCTTTGTCTACAGATCACAAACCAACTCTACGTGCTGAGAAAGAACGTATTTCTGCTGCTGGTGGTTGGGTCGATGCAAAACGTGTGAATGGGAACCTTGCACTATCACGAGCTTTCGGGGATTTCGTCTTCAAGCGTAATCCACACCAGTCTGCCGAAAACCAAATCGTAACTGCAAATCCGGACGTTTTTGTTCGACGACTTTCAGTCGAAGATGATGAATTTATTGTACTGTGTTGCGATGGTATATGGGATGTAATGACAAATCAGGAAGTTGTAAGCTTTATTCGTCTGCGACTCAGTTATGGTATGCTTCCATCTAAAGTAAGATTTTACGTAGTAATACATTTTTTAATTAAAGCACCATATCGACATAAGAATTCATTTTCGAAATTTCTCAAAAAGTGCCGTAGAATTAAGATCTATATGTTCCAGACTCTTTAAAAGTGTCTTTTTAGATCAATAAGCAGAAGCAGTTTAGTGATTAACCTCCCTTTATAATGAATTGATACAAAATACCTAGTTTCCGTGTCATAAAAAAACTGCTGTATTTCAAACAGTATATGAAAATATGGTTCATCATCACTGAGTGTTCTGAAAAGTACAGCCATTTAATACACCAAATTTTATCTGCACTGATTACAGTGACAATACATTTAATTTTGACAGAACTGCCAGTATTAATCAATGCACTGTTAAATGCCAGTATTCTACAGCTTTGAAGTATTTCCTACTTTTAATGGATATACTACCAAAACGCATTTTTTTGTAAAAATAGAAATGTTGTAAGCGGTATAAATTCAATTGATGTGTGGTAGTGAAAGTAAAGTATGATTGATTGTTGAGCGTGAACAAACAGCAATACCCTACGGACTATTAAATATGTGATTTTCCTTTTTATCTTTGATCTCTACTCTGGACACACTGTATGTGAATGCTTGTAATTGTATTGCATAAAGTATTCTCTAGTGTTAACCTAGTTCTCTTTTGGATCGCGAATACTGGTTCTGAAATAACGTGATTAGTCTTATTAACGTATTATCTTAATGTACATGTAGAGGGGAAAAATGTTGTAAACCATCAGTTATATCACAAAAAAGTGAAAAATACCAAGTCATGCTGTTATAATTTCTGCTGTAGAAATTAACTACGATACAATGAATAGTGCGAGCGAGTGTATATATGCGTATTGTTAACTATTAGAAATTAGAGGGTCTGAACTGATTGTTCATTCTATGCCTAATTACTCTGAGAATTAATGTGCTTTTGGGATACTGGTAAATATAGCCATTTTAACCAGATATCTCGAAAAGTATAAGACCTCTTGTTTGTGTTCATACTAAACCACACACTTTATTGTTCTTAGGTATGTGAAGAACTTATGATGCGATGTCTAGCACCTGACTGTCATACAAATGGTTTGGGCTGCGATAACATGACTGTCGTTTTGGTCTGTCTCTTACAAGGACGCCCGTTCTCGGATTTGCAACGCAAGTGTTCTCGATCGTGTCCAGCCGGTCCAGCAGCCGATATTTTAGGTGCATGAAGCTATGGGAATTTATCGCCGTGAATTTCCTTTGTAGTCCCAGCTGAGAGCTTCGCCTTGTCACTTATTTTGATCTAATATTTACAATAATTTTTTTTACCTCCTAAGTAGTCTTGCATTTTGTTTCTAAGAACTGTAACCTCACTGCATGTAATTATTTTAAAAATTCGGTTAATTCTTGAATGATACTAAAAGTTGTGACGATTTACCATGCTTGTTGGGCGTTATGCATTAATCTTGTTGGTAGATAGATGTGTTATATAACTTATCAAATTGAATGGAAGTTTGCTTATCTATCATATTGAATAACATTGCAATTAGCTGTTTGACTTGACTTTTCAAGGATTTCCGACTGATAATCCGTCGTACAATTTTAACGTACAAATCTGCATTACTGCGGAACATAAGACCAAGCTCTAGATACCCAGTTGTGTTACCAATAACTATCAGTTTTTCATGTTGGTAGGTACAGTCCAGGGCAGTATTTTAACGAGTATACAAGTACGAATTATTTTTATTTGAACACATAAATATTGGTACAAGAGGGCACCAAATATATATGCGCCACACAAAACCGTGAGAATGACAAGAGAAAAAGAATGTAAGGAGCGTAAAAGAAAAAAAAGAACAATAACGACCAGATTAGTGTGAGGTAGTGTAATAATAATAATGGGGAAAACGGAAAAGTACAACCAGAAGAAATCTTTCAGTTAAGGAAGACAACCATTTTTTACGAAGAAAGCAAAAGAAGGTTACAGCAGGATCGCCACTGGCTTCTATTCTGAGCCATATCTGATAACACTGTGTTGCACCATCTCTCGGACCCCAGTCAGGTAGTCGTGAAGGACCAACGAAACCCAGCCCAGTTTCCTTGCATACCACGCCACCATGTCATGCACTGACTACCTCTCCGCTTTTTCCAACCAGTCCTAGCGTCGGCAAGTAATGCACGACGTGGAATTCTCTGGGACACCTTCGTAGAACATGTTCAAGCCACCGAAGTCGATGTTTCAAGATGGTGACACCAGCTGGATTACCGTCTCTGCGCCCGAACCTCTGCATTACTAACATGGTGTTGCCACTGGATATCAGCAATTCTTCGGAGACGACAATGATTAGATACAGAGAATATTCTAACATCCTCAACTCGGAGAGGCTGTTTCATAAGCATAGAGCAGAACTGCTCTCACCGACGCGTTGTAGATCCGATCTTTCACAGCCAGACTGACATCACGAAGGCGCAAAAGATGGCCCAGATTGGCGTAAGCCGCTCTGGCTTTCGCTATACGTTCATTAATCTCGTCACTCACACCACCACTTATTTAGCTACCTACAAACTTCTCGACAACTTCTATCTGCTCACCATCCAGGGTGAGTACAGGATTGGAATCCTGCCAGTCTTGTAGAAGTACTTTGCACTTCGAAGGTGCAAAGCACATACCATACCTACGGACACTGATTGCCAACTGATTAAGTGCGGATTGCATGGCTTGGGCATTATCGCACAGTAAGACAATATCGTCCGCATACTCAAGGTCGAGAAGTCTTTCTCCAGGCAACAGATCCACACCACCACTACTTACATCCATCAGAGCTGTTTCCAGAATGTCATCGATGGCAAAGTTGAGGAGGATTGCTGAGATTGGGCAACCCTGTTTAACCCCACTGCTCCAATGGAACAATGGAGAGTGGTGGTTGTATGCCCTCACTCTACTCGAGATGCTTGTATATAGGGTTTTTAGGATGTTAATAAACTTCTCAGGCACACCCTTCTTCAATAGACAATCCCAGAGAGCAGTCCTGTCCAACGAATCGAAGGCAGCCCTCATGTCAAGAAACACTACGATTGTTGGCCTTTGAAAGTATGGCGGTGTTCTAACATTTGGCGAAGGATGAAGATATGATCACTACATCCTCGACCAGAACGATAACCAGCCTGCTCCTCGCGAGTCAATCTTTCTCGGGTTTTGAACAACCTACGAAGTATGACAGAAGACGCCCGACCTGAGCATCCAAGTCTCCGGCTAGTACTACAATATCTGTCGAACACACTTTCTGGAGAAGAACAGTTAACTGGTGGTATAATTCATCCTTGATTGCATCCGGCATGCAATCTGTCGGGACATAGGCGGAGATGACGAAAAGACATTGTTTCTCACGCCGATTTCTTCTCACTTTGATGGAACTTTCTAATCTAACACCACATAACCGTCTGTTAATGGGGATCCAATCGATTAGTGCTGCCTCAGCTCTAGCGCTTAGTGCGACACCAACGCCAGCAAGACCAGACGAAGATGTCACAGGGTCCCCGGATAAACGCACGTAAAACAAGCCTCTCAAAGTGATACATGGAGAGCGAATTTGTAGCAAATCACCAGAGTCTTGAATACGGGTCTCGGATAGACGGCAAACGTCGATATTACTTTCCAAAGACATAGCCAGCCCTATCTGTTGTCCGACCTGCATTCAAGCTCGAACTTTGAAGGCAGCCACTTTGAATGGTGCACGTGGTTTCAGAAAAACTGCTTCAGTATTCGTATTTGGTGGTAGCATATAATTTTCAACCAGGCAGTGACTCGAGAACGTTTAGATACAGTCGAATTTCCACCATAGATGGGCTGCTGTATAAGTCGAAAAATAAGGATGCATAAAGTGGGAATAAAAGAGAGTGAATAAATGACGTAAATAATAATAACAACAATGTGGATCGTTTGACCGTTAATGGAAGCAAGTATAGTATTATTCGTAAGCATCGTCATTTCCTTCTGTTTGTGTGTGGGCTGTGATATCTCCCGGGTGCCCAAACCGAAGCAGGTAGTTTTCTTAGGGTGCCGCACCCCGAGCCTTTGACCTAAATGTCTGACCCACAAGGCGGTGGGGCGACGTCAGGAGATGCAGTCCCATGGAAGCCGGTGACCAACAATTGGTTTGTACTCTATTTGTTAGGATACTGAAGCCCATGTGCACCATTGGTTTGGAATCAAGTTTTCCCTACTCTACGTGGACTCACCATGTCCACCAACCCGGTTAAAGCGCCGGACATTCGCTTTTCGTCCTCTCAATTTCGTAAACAACACCCTTTTCGTGAGAAGGCAGTGAGTAGGACTTCCCTGGCAGATGTTGTATACGCGTGGTCCTGCGAGAGCATTTCGAAAGGGAGGGCGGGCCCACTCCGCCGTACCAGGGCATTTGGGGGTATACTAGTATGAGTAAAACACAACGTATTTAGCTGAGTGGGATCGCTTTACAGAACATTTTAACAGCCTTAAGTAACAGCACGTGTAGTTAGTACAAACTTCAACCTTAACGAACTTCTCTATTTTGGGGAAGCCACTGTAGAAGCTTTTAGGGAAATGGCACAAATGCCCAGATTTGGGGAAAACCCCAAAGTAGGGAGATTGGGTATGTTCGAACTAATTCATGTCGTTTAATTTTAGGATCATCGGCTTTCTATTCTGAACGGTGTCTCACTCTGAATGATAGATAAAGTATATTTAGTGTATAAGATGTGCTTATTTGTTTACATAAATACAAATAGTCTATAACAACAGAGACCTAAAGCATACTTTTTAGTAAGATCATAAGATTAAATTCCATAGTAACCACTTGATAAAAATAAAGATGTTTCAATCTTTTGTGACCAAAATCTCAGACTGTATACAAATGAGAGCCAGAGATTAGAAAAGCTATGCTTTTAGTGTCTTGACTTAACAGAGTTAGGTTGTGTGTAAATCCCAAGTTCATGAAAACTGATTTCGGCAACCAAATTACTTGTATGCGAAGAGCAGTCTGAGATATTGCCCTAGATGAATTCATTGTTTGAATTCGGAGATAAAATTTCAAAATCAGTAGTATATAAGCTGTGACTAGGCAAAAGGTCAAAATAAGTAATGAATTGTCAGGACTGGTACTACAGAAACCCCAAATGCCCTAGTACGGCCGAGAGTGGGGAGAGTCAGCTCTCCCTCTCGAAATGCTCTCACATGGCTACGTGTATACAGCCACTCACAACGAAGTCCTACTCACACAATTCTCTTGACGGAGGTGTTGTTTACAAAATTGAAAGAACGAAAAGAGAATGTTTGGTGCTTTAACCGGGTTGGTGAATAGGGAGGGTCCATCGAGAGGAGTTGGAAAACCCTTATTCCAAACCAATGCTGCACAAGGGCTCCAATATCCTGAAGGAACAAAAGGCGTATCAACTTATTATTGGTCACCGGCTACCATGGGAGTGCATCTCCTGAGGTTGCTTCACTGCCTTGTGGATCAGACCTTCAGGTCGAAGGCTCGGGGAGTGGCCCCCTAAGGGAACCACCTGCTTCGGTTTGGGAACCCGGGCAGTACCACAGCCCTCATGAGATTTGTGTGGTGCATATGTATTTGGTGCCTCCTTGTAGCAATATCTATGTGTTAAAATAAATAGTGATAAACTACAAAACTCAGTTACCATGTTAGGATTCGTGCACTCAGCTCTGAATCCCAATTTTGGCGTGGTAGTGATGCTACTCGGTTATTTAAACTAGAGCTGTGTTGTAATCAGTAAACTACTACACAAACAAGCACTGAAATACGTAAACAAACTTAGTGCACTTCTAATAAATATGTGATTATCTGTTAAGTAACAGTCAACATATTTCTTATAAGCTGGGTATTATGACTTTCGTACGATAAAATATAAAAACATAAGTAAACACAAAACATTTACTAAAGAATAAATTGAATTAAATTTAATACATATCTGGAAGTACACACGGGTGCTAGATCAAAATTAAGAATCGAAATCTATACACTAAAGCTCTCTCCGCACCCACATGTGCCTTTAATATTAGGGTTATTAAAAACAAATTGACTTGATAGTACGTCCTGCTGATAGTCCATTTCAGTACCTAGTAACGTCAGCTGAGCTCGGCGATCAATGAAAATGCGGACATTATCTTGTTCTACAACTTCATCTCCGGGTTGGCGTCCTTCAAAACAAAAGTCCAAAGTATATGACAAGCCATTACATCCACGGGTCCTAACTCCAATGCGTAATCCTGTGGCTTTTGGATTCATTTGTAAGAGCTGCAGAGCTCGAGCTACAGCTGACTTTGTAAGAATCAGCGGTGCATGTTTACCAACAAGGGATGACGTTTTTGACTGTGCAGTTGTCTTTACGGAATTTGAAATCGATCCGGGTCTGGTTGAAAATCGATACACCGTAGATTTCGCAACCAACCTATCCTCTATAAAGCAGTGCAAGATTTTTGATCTGGTTGTGACCAACTTAAGGCATTTAACCGAGTTCATTGAAGCATGAAGCGTTATACCGACATCTGAAATGACAAAA